AAACATATTATTCTAACCAAATTTTTCTTGGTAACAAAAATTAGGGGGAAGGAAGACTACCCATCTCAGGACCAGCAGTCAGGGCATATCACAAATCCTTTTAGGACTTAAAATGGGGTTTTAGCCCCTTTATTGGTCTTTACATATCGCTTACTAAGAGGAATTACAAGCAGAAAGACTCGAACTAAACTGCTTGATTTAACGAAGAAAACGATCCTTACCAACTCAATAAACTCTAGTTAGCATTGTTCTAACTGATTTAGTTAAGAAAAATATACATCATATAGTTCCATCAGAAAGACTTTTAATCTCGTGGCCACACCAAGGTGATGTGAAAATTAATTTGAACCCTAGAGTAGTCAGTAGTGGTAGGGTAGTAGTGGGGGTGAGAATTGAGAGATTATTGACAGATAAAGACTGATATAGTGACTTAATGTAGTGATCAAGTAAATGGAGTCACGGGTCTTATTACTTTGTTGCTACTCTTCCTCAAACTCAAGGGCTGGCTTTTATTACAGCCATTGGTGAGGCAAATGGAGGACGACCCCGCCAGTAGAGAGATTCTTGCAGTCGAAAAGATCAAAGAAAAAGGGGGGAGAGAGAGAGAGAATTGACGTGGGAAGAGTGATTGATGCATGACTACCCTCTGGCCTTTGCAATATAGAATCATGCAAGACAGAAGCTGACACGCATATTATATAAAAATTGGAAGAGAATGAAATTTCAAGGCATGGCCATTCCAGTAAGCTAAAAGCTTAATTACTACTTAATCTGCTAAGTTAATCTACTAAATTTAATACTTAAATCTAATAAGAAATGGATTATATCGACTAACCTAGTAGGAACAGATGTGACATATGTTGCATGCATCCTTATCATGTCTTTGCAGAACCCATTACCTTCAATCGTATTCTATTCTACTCTGATTTATAAATTTATACGTTGAATGATTTATTTACCAACTGCAATATTTTTTTTCTTTTCTTTCTCTTCGTAGACACCGTATAAAATTTGATTTCTCACAAATATAGGAAAGCAGCCAAGTTGTCGATTGTTACTTAAGAATATTAAATTTTTGGGTTTTCTTTTACGATGCATGGATACAGTAATATTTCCTCATATTTTCGTGACGTGTTATATTCCTTTGTGGTCATAAAATAATTTTTTTTGTTAATTTGACGTATTCTCGTGTTCTTATTCATTGTAGGGTTTTTTTTTTCCATTGCATATTCATAAAATCATTCTCATGGAAACATAGCATCATTGAAACTAGGGAAAAAGCAGAAACAAAATCATTTGGTACTGAAAACTGCAAGAAGGTGAAACAAACAACCCAACAAAAGTTTGAAGCTATCAATTAGCAAAAAAGAATGGAAAGGTACGTAAACTCTTTCCTTGCCATGATCATATATCTCTGCATGCTTGTTTGTGCCATTGGCTATGGCGATCCATCATTTGTTAAGTAAAAGTTGAGAATTCATCGTCGCACACCCAGAAACATCATTCAGAACACGCACCTGGTATCTCTTTCTCTCCAAATGATCATTTGCTTCTGCATTTGTAGGGTATGTTTATAAATAAATGGGGTCACCTTTAAAATGTACTAGAAAAAACCTTTTTAATTATATATTTGACAGGATATGTTACATTTTCTTCCATGCATTGTTGAATGTCCTAAAGAAACAAAATTATAAGTATCTGGGTCCAAGTTTTGATGGGGTAATTATTTCACAATCTTGAAATCATTGGAGGAGTAGGAAGTAGGGGTTGCTGGTCATCATGGAATTCGATAAAAAAAAATTAAAACAAAAAAAGGGAATAGCTAGATGCTAGTATTGTGTTGGTAATTACAGTTGGAAATTGTTATTTATAGGATTAAAGCAGCTGCATGGTTGTAGCTGGTGAACAGTTTTGGACCAGAATTTGCAATCCAATAGCTCAAAGATTCTTCAAAGAAAAAGAAAAAGAAAATGTGATTTCTCGATTCAAATTTAGGTGTAAGGACACATACACATACACATTGTTCTAACTGTTTAACTGACTTCACTCAAAAATATGCAATTTAAATATATATTTTAAGTGGGATTCTTTTTTACCTTTAAGATATTCGAGTTGAAATGCACATTTTTTAATACCATAATATTTCTATTTTGACAGGTATTTGGTATCAAATTGGTAATCCATGTGAGTTTGAATTTGAGACCTTCTATGAATAAGGAAGAATAAACACAACTAAACTGTATAACTAGTGACGGCTAAAATGTGCAGTTATAATTGAGTTTGTAACGGATGCCATCTCAAAAAGCAGTTGAGATCCTCTTTAGATTACTATGTCCAGAGCTGCTGGATACAAAAATATAGACGGTTCAATTTAAATTATGCAGTCCTCATTAGCCAATTTCACTTGCCCACCTCATAGAGGACGAAGTATTTGAACAACCCAAATCTCTCTTTTTCTCTCTTAAATGGCCTAGATTTTCGAGTCCGACTACGCAGAACACAGAAATCCTAATAGAATCTCAATTCCTCAAAAAGCAAGCTAAGAAGCCACAAGCCACAAGCTAGGACTAATCACTTAAGGAAAAAAGTGATGAAGAAAGCTAAAAGGGTAATGTGCGGGGCCATGACCTTTCTTGTCTATAACGGCTACTTCCAGCCTAAGCAACCCTAGCATTTGGCGATGCATGCCAAATTGCCATGCACGGTCCAATAACGCAAAAGGAGGAGGAGGAGGGCACACATTTCGTCAAAACTCTTTCAACATCACATCTCTCTTCACCATAAATACGCCGATCACCACACTCGCCCTAACTGGCATCTGTCATCCTCACAAGTCACAGCTACGGTGTGAAGTGAAATAACTGAGGGTAGTTCGGAATTATGAATCAAATACAGTTATTCGGGAGAAGTGAATCATCATCGGTAAAAAGTTAAATTAAGTAGTGAAAAACCTGTTAGGGTGGGAATTCGGACCGCGTTATTCATGATAAAGCTCTTACAAAAGAGAACAACTTATATAACGCAAGTACACTGTTATCGTAACATCTAATAATAATAATACAAACTTACGTGAATCAAAATCTTATTCGCGTTTATATTACGAACACGGGACGCTTCAATGATGGTTTATCCAAACAACTTGATGGCCCGGCCTAGTGTAATACCCGTACGAAATTTTTTCGTATTCGACGTAAGACTAGGTAAACACTCAACAAAGGCCATGTAATGGGTATCTTGAGCCCAGTGTGAGCACCCCAGTAGCTATTTTATGCGATGCCTTGGGCCTTTTAGTAATGGGCAGGTCTTAAGGTCCTAGTCCTAGTCATGGAGGACAACTCTCCCAACCATTTCCATAACAAGTACTCACTGAAGGGTAGTGATTTTTGCACTCTTGTTTTCTCTTCTCGTTTTTGTCTTTTGAATACCCTTCTAGAGTCTAGAAATAAAGGGAGTACAGAGAGAAAAATGGGAAGTGCGAAAATCACCTCGTATCGAACCTCTAGAAAGTCCAAAATGAAAATGTGGGGCTTTGTTGGTGGCAAGATTTAGGTCCAAGACAATTTCACGCCTGTTTATCAAGTAAAATAACGTGCAAGGTAGTATTGAGTATAATATGACACAATGTATGATCACATCTCCCTATCTCATCCAAACCAGAGTCCAGACTTTCATGTTTCCAAGCAAAAACCACAAAAGCAAAGCCTAAAATAACAAATAATTGTGAGTGTCCACATCTAAAATTAGCAATAATAATAATATAATAGTAAACAATACCTCTTGTGAAGCTTGCCTCAAACCAATGCGCATTTGCGTTTCAGCAACAGAAAAAGGCTCCCAAATTTCTTTGTACCTGATTCCCCCTTTACGGAGATACTCTCGTTACCAAATCACCATGTGGTCAGCGTTTATTGAACGGAGTGGTTCACTTTCTATTGGACATGCTTTCGTTGTTGTAAGCCTTCGTATCTTAATGCATGTGACCTTGGTTAAAAGATAATTTTCTATCCTTTATGACTACTCTAGAGAGCATGGTCTATAACGAGTCATCAGAGATTCATGGGCAGTTAGCGAAAAACAAATGCACGAAACCAAAACTCTCCCTTCCGAATTCTGCTAGCTGCTTTATCTAAAATTCAGTTCCAGTTTTAGGTTTCTCTTCCTTGCAAGGCATGGCTAACTACTCTTTCCCTCCCTTTACCTCCACTCAAGTTTCATTTCTATTCCTATGTATATAACCTTGTTCCTCACAAGCAAAATTCTATGACAAACCGAGAGAAGAGACCAAAAACATTAAGGGAAAAAGAAACTTATCAAACGTTTCTGGTCGATGGAGATCAAGATAGGAGCTGAGGAATCCAGACACCTGCATGATGATGATCAGAAACTTCCCCTCTTGCAAGATGCACCAAAATCCGTGACAGAAGAGCAAAGAACGCTGATACAGAAAGGCGAATCCAGACATTTCGGAGCACGGCTCATTTGGCCAATCTTTTGCCTACGGGAACAGTTCTTGAATTTCAGCTTCTGGCACCCATATTTACAAACCAGGGCAACTGTGACTCAGTCAGCCGGTCCATGACTGCTGGCCTTGTGGCCCTCTGCGGGGCTTCATGTTTTCTACTGAGTTTCACTGACAGCTTAAGGGACAATAAAGGAAATGTCTGTTATGGGTTCGCTACATTCAAAGGCTTATGGATCATTGATGGGTCAGCCAACATATCAACTGAAGTCGCTGCAAATTTCCATCTGCGGTTTATAGATTTCTTCCATGCCTTCATGTCAATACTTGTATTCACAGCTGTTGCACTTTTTGATCAGAATGTAGTGAATTGCTTCTATCCAACGCCGTCAGATGAGGCTCAGGAGGTACTCGCAGCATTGCCAGCTGGCATTGGTGTCATTTGCAGTATGTTGTTTGTTGTGTTTCCAACCAAGCGCCACAGAATGGGCTTCCCCCTCTCTGCAAATTAGCAACTCCTCTTTTGCTTGGTCAGTTCATATTTGCCTGCATGCTACTTAAAACTGTAAAACCCCGCACATACAACCTTAATTATTCTTTCTTCCATCCCGGCTTCCTCCAAGATCTGTAAATGCTGGTCATATGATGATTCTCTTTGTTTGTAAATTCCAGTTCAAAAGTCCATAGCACATTGAAAGAGAACTTTTAAACATCTCAACTCTTAATCGAATAATTACGAATATCATTTGAGGTACCGACTAAGAAACGCTTGAGATAATGATTTCTCTTATCTTATGTGCCAAAGATTGCAGTACATCTTCCTGTATTGCATGAGTCAGGTATGTAAATAATTGGAAAACTGTCTATAAATTAAATCCAAAAATTCCACAAACTCGAAATACATAACAGTTACATGAATCTAGTAAATCCATAACGAACAAGGGTGGCACCTTGCTGGCCAAAAGACAAAAACGATGGATGTAATGTGGATGGCATGAGCCTATGTGTTATAATGCCAGACAATTAAAAGAGCAGTTCACTTCAAGATTGTCGGTCAACAACAACATCATCACCAGAAAGTGCTTTACAAATCATGTGTCAGGACACTTGTCATATATTGAGCCGGAAATGTATAGTTTCTTAAAAAGAAAAGCAATTCGCTGGACAAGTTTTCATAATAAGAATGAAGAAAATGAAACGTGTGCAAGAGCGCTTACTAGCCCACAACTTTCAGATTAGTGTCTCAGGCTCAACCACTTCAGTCATCAGCTCAGCCTGCAACAACTCAGCAGGTTCACGCACCTTCTTTCGATTCCAAAAACCATTCACCATGGCACTCCATATTCCCTCATCGGGGACACATCCATCAAGCACCATCTCTTCAACAATTCGATAAGCTTTGTGCAGGTCTCCTTTCTGAGATATACATTTCACTAAAATATAAAAAGTCTTCATATCAATTGAGATACCCCTGGTACGCATGCTAAGATACAGTTGAAAAGCTTGGTTTTGATCACCGTTGCTACACAAGCCCTGGACCACTGCATTATGAATCCTAACAAGAAGGCCCCAGGTTAATCTGTTAGGCGTAACTCCACCAAGGACCATCTCATCAAGAAAGTTTGCAGCTTCCTTGAACTTGTATACATTGCAAAATCCACTTATTACTTTCCCATAAAGCCTGCATCTGGTTTCAAGCCTTGAAGCTTCATCCTGTCAAGAATCTCTGTAGCTTCTTGAAGCTTTCCTTCTTCACAGAGTCCATGAAGCAAAGTACTATATGTGATTATGTTCGGCTTATGGCGCTTGCTAACCATTAAGTCTAATAGTGCCATTGCTTGTCCAGAACGCCCACCCTTGCAAAACCCATCCATCAAAGAGCTGTAAGTAAACACGTTTGGAGTAATACCTTTGCTTGACATGTCTTCAAACAATTCCATAGCCTCATCCAAGTTCTTAGATTGACACAAACCATGTATCAAGGAAGTATAAGTAACAACAGAGGGCAAACAACCTTTTGTTCCCATCTCCTTGAATAGCTCCTTTGCTTCCCCAATCTTTCCCATCCTACACAATCCATTGATCAAAGTACCATACGTATACGAATCTGGGGTGCACCCCTTATTGGGCATCTCGCGGAATATTCGAAGAGCTGAATCCATAGAATTACTGTTCTTACAAAGGGCTTTGATCAAAATATTAAGCGAAATAACACTAGCTGGAATGCCAGTTTCTCTCATATACTTATAGAACTTGAAAGCAATCTTTAACTGGTTTTCTTCAACAAGAATGCCAAGTATGGTAATGTAAGTTTTTTGGGTTGGTTTACACTGAAAGTCCTCCATCTTGTGGAAGACCCTCACGGCATCCAGCGGCCTGTGAACGCGGCCGTACCCTCTGCAAACAGAGAGGAATATATCTTCAGTAACACTACACTTCTCCTCTCTCATCCTATCAAGTAACGCCTCTGCGGACCTGAACTGGTTCACGGAGACTAACCGAGAGACCATGAGACCAAATGTGGTGTGATCATGCCGAAACCATTGGTGTACTCGGCTGTTGCCGAATCGAATACGAGAACAGCTTTCTGCAAGTCCTTTTCAGCTTTTATCAGCTGCCCAACTTGTGAAGTCGTGATTTGATTCGACCATTTGAACAAAGTTTTACTTCCCATTCTTCGCACCAACTCTCTCTCAGTAATGGCAATATCACCCACTCCAAATTAAGCTTCAATTTGCACAATAAACGGTTCCACGAAAATCTCCGAATCAAAACAAAACTACCCACGAACAATATGAATCAATTAGCAGAAAAATTCAAGCTATGACATTTGGTCTAAACTCTCTGAGGCATTTCATCAAACAGATTCGGGTCGCCATACATCACACAAGAATTTCGCGGGAAAAAGTATGAATTGAACTCAAACACAAGGAGTAGCTACCTCCTCGGCTGATTGCTTGTCGTGCAATTGCTTTTCTCCTTCTGATTCGGTGTATTTTTGCCGTCGCCGTTGCTGTCTATGAGTGGTGATACTTAGCGGAGGCGCTTTTGACGGCGGCGGCGCGAAGACTGGATGACAATTTACGAATTTGGATCGAGACATGAAGTATTTGAATCAGGCCCAATCGTTAAAAGGTCATGTCCGATATGGATCGGGTCGATCTACCATTATGTTGGGTCATGTCCGTTATAGGCCCAACAAATGATGAGGTGACTTTTGTCATCGTATTTTGGGGTTTTCAAATAAGTAAATTGTATCAATGGTCTTTCAACTTCCTTCAAAACGTACAGTGATAGTTTTTTTCATCAATTCCGTTGAAACTTCCTTCAAAATGAGTCACGTGTCATGCGAGTGAGGCTGAACCAATGGGCAAATATAAAATCCAAATGTGAAAAATTGTAGAAAAAGTCCCTCAACTTTAATTCAATTAGAGAAGTAGTCCCTTAACTTTAACCCAATTGTAAAAATGTTCATTCCAACATGACTCATTTTAATGGAATTCTGACGAAATTGACAAAAGGAGCCATAGTTACACGTTTTGATCAGTTAAGGGACCAATGATAAAATGATTTTTTGTTGAGGGACCATTGCTTCCCTTATTAGTTAAAGTTGAGAGAGCATTACTACAATTTTCTCTTTTCAAATCAAACGGTTTGATAAAACTTTACTGTTACTCAATTTTCTTCAACTTTGATCTGATATATTGAAATGATTGACTATTATAGAACGTAAATTAGTCACTCTAAACTTACATTAGAGTTACAACGTTAGATCTGTCAACCTGCATACTTAGAGCCCAAAAATCGAAGCTACATAAAATCTATGCGTACCTTAAAAAAATCATCCGTGTGAATAAATTGTGAGCCTTTTGGTCGATCAGATATTTTTTTGGGTAAGTGGACTAGTTGTTGAACAAAAATCATCAAGCTTTTATAAGCTTTGTGTTCCAACAATTTGATGCCCGTGACAAACAGGTGAGAGGAGCAAAAGGATTCACAGCTCACAGAGGAAAGGGAATTTACGTAAACGCAGACGATAAGGCGATCGAAAACACACCCATCCCCGTCGCTCCTACGCCTTACGCTGGGGATAAGCAGGGCCCCCTCGCCTCCCTCAGTTCACATCCCCATATGTCACCCTCATTCTCTATCCACCCCCACCATAGTGCCCCATATTCCTCCTCCCATCCTATCACCATTCAACAACTCAAACCTCTTCGAAATTATTTAAGACCGCTTATAAAATAACTAAAAGCGAAATTAACAATCAAATCATTTTGATCGTGCTTCTTAAAAGAAGTTAAAAACGGTTTTAGATTTATAAGTACTTTCTTAAAAAACAGTGATTATGCATATTCAGAAAACGCTTTCAACATGCTAACATTTTGTGGAAAAGCGCATCTTATTTGAATTTTTGATATATTTTTAGGATTACAATTCTAATGTACATGTAAAGGCAGAGGAGTACTTGAACTGAAAATGCAGTTGGTTGTAAAAGAGGTTGTATGCACTTTTGGATTCAACGGGTTTGTAACAAAAACACCTTTAACATAGTGCAGTCACCTAACTTAAGCTCTTATAAGCAGAGGTGCTACATGGAATGAGATTCATTATGAATCTCTGGGTCCGAAACCTACGAACCGAGAGATTCAATATGTTGAAGAGAGAGAGAGAGAGAAAGAGATTCGCACTGTTAAATTTTTGAGTTTTTGCTAAGTGTGCCAATGAAATAGATTAATGAGATCAAATTGAGTGGTCCAAATTTCTCTGGACACAGTGCTACATAAGCAATTTCTAACTTAATCACACCGGCGGATGTACTCCACTAACGTGTTCCGTCCTCGTACAAGATCCTAACCAAACGAACAGAAACAAAAGCAATTAGCCGCCCTTCGTTCTCCCTGCAAACGCAAACGATTCGTTTCGTTCTCTGTCCCTGCGCTGTTCAGAACAACTAATAAGAGCTCACTGTATCTTCCCAATTCACATTCCCCACTCCCTCTCAGCCACTCGGTTCTCCCTCCTGCTGTCCCCACCAATCATGGAGTCGCGAGTGTTGTCACGCGCCACCGCATTCGCACCGCTACCCTACCAGCGCAAGCCATCCCACAGAGAAAACGGCGCCGTCTCGTTCGTCTCGGCCCGGCCGATAGGGGCCGTGAGCGAGGGTGGGAACCTCATATGGGGGAGGCAGCTCCGCCCGGCGCTGCTGCTCGAGGCGTCCCCGATAAAGAGGGAGATTCTCAAACCGTGCCTCGCCGCGGCCTCGTCGCCGGCTCAAGGAGATTCCGCCGGGTGAGGTCCGTCTCCTCCGTTCTGACTCGTCTGACTCGCCACCGTCAGCCTCCGTACTAATGAGTTTTTTTGGTTTGTGTTTTTTGCCGGTTCCTTCTGACTCGGTGGTGTTACAGGGACGCGAAGGTGGCGCCGATCGGGTTCTTCGACAAGTACCCGTTTATCCTCACCGGTTTCTTCTTCTTCATGTGGTACGGACTCGCGCGCTTCACCTACAATTTAACGGCTTAATATAAATTGTTGAAACAGTTTATATTTAATTTGAATTTATTTGTATATATATTTTTGAGTAATCATTGTGTTGGAATTACGGATTTGTCCTTGGTTTGCAGGTATTTTCTGAACGTAATTTTCAACATCATGAACAAGAAGATCTACAATTACTTTCCGTATCCATAGTAAGTGTCCCCATTTTCGATTTTTTAATACAACTAGATGTTACTGTGCTATATTAAATTATATACTGTTGTGCGAGAAAGCTAAGTGCTTTAGAGCAAGTCCATTCCCCTTTTGAAGGCAGGTCCAAAGTCTAAAAAAATTAGCTGGCATTCCCAAAAACCCACTCCATCCTACAAAATAGACCGGCCCAAAGTTCATCCCAATCTCTAGGCCGGTCCAGAATGGGTTAAGTGAGGAATCGGCCTATCTCATGTCATGTTGACGTCAACCATGATTGATTCTTTTTTATGCGGCTGGCGTGTGGGTGTGTGTTCTAGACTTAAAAAAAAAATATTGTTAGAATCTCACTGTGAGCCACGTGTCCACTTTTGGACGGTTGGATTTCAACATTTTTGAAATCCAACGATCCAGATTAATTAACTTAATACAAAATTATAAAAAATGTTTAAAAATACGAAAAAAAAAATTTAACGATTTTTTTATATATAAATACCTAACCATCTTCTACACAAATTGTACTTTCAGAAAATGACACATGACGTGACAAGATTGGTTAAAAATTATATTCGAAATTAAAAATAATTTTTTTAATTATTTTATAAAAAATTAATAATATTTTAATACGAATTGACTAGATTTTGGGCCAGCTCATTTTTTAGGAGTGGAGATTCATTTGGCCAATTAGTGTTCAATCAAATCAATTGCTATCCATTTGGGTGAATTAAATGGACTTGGGCCAGGTCATTTTTTAGAGGTGGATTTGCTCTTATGCAACAAGATATTACTATGCTATATTTCAACTCATACACTATCTAAATGTTTTCATGCAACGAGATTTTACTGTGTTGTATTTTAAATCATGTAGTTGCGAAAAAGCTAAATGGTTTCCTGCATCAAGATGTTACTGTGCTATATTTTAAATCATACAGTGTTATGCGAAGAAGCTAATTATATGATAGTGTACAATTAGCTTAAAATACGGTCGTAATGACATATCCCATGCCTGTTCTAGTTATTTTAAGTTCCGGCTTCTTCTGAAGAAATGAGTTTTGTTGTGTGCGGGTGCAGTTTTGTGTCGGTCGTGCACTTGGGTGTCGGAGTAGTGTACTGTTTGATCAGCTGGGCCGTGGGACTTCCCAAACGCGCTGTAAGTGAACCACTTCAATAAATAAAGGGGGATTTGAATTCGAGAGTTAGAACGGACAAACTGACCTAACTCACGTTTGCAAATCTGTGTCTGGTTCACTTGAAATGTGACCTGGTGTTTTCTCTCCATGTAGCCCATTGATGCAAACCTCTTGAAGCTGCTCATCCCAGTGGCAGTGTGCCATGCACTTGGCCACGTCACCAGCAACGTCTCGTTTGCAGCCGTTGCTGTCTCCTTCACACATACAATCAAAGGTGAGAGCACAAATTTATGATCCAGCAGATTTCGGAGAAGAACAAATGACTATGAAGTTAATGGTGCATTAACGTTGGATTTATTTGTTTCAGCTCTTGAGCCATTCTTCAATGCTTCTGCTTCGCAATTTGTCCTCGGACAATCAATCCCCTTGTCTCTATGGCTGTCCCTGGCTCCTGTTGTTATTGGTATGCTCTTCTGTTTATGTTCATTCAGTTGTAATCGTATTATCCGAGATTTAACCAAATGTGTTGATATTAATGTGCAACTCATTATTTCGATGAATCATTTGTCCGAACAGGTATAAATTTAGTATCCCGTAAGTTGGTATTTCCATGGTTTTAAAATGCAGGTGTGTCGATGGCATCGCTGACTGAGTTGTCTTTCAACTGGCTTGGCTTCATTAGTGCTATGATTTCAAATATCTCCTTCACTTACAGGAGTATCTATTCAAAGAAAGCCATGGTGAGTTTTCCTTCTCGAAAACTTTACGTTTTGAATTCTCCAAGTTAACTTTTCCCTCTTTATATAACATTTTTGTTATTTCTGCAGACTGATATGGACAGTACCAATCTCTATGCTTATATTTCAATCATTGCACTCTTCGTCTGCATTCCACCCGCTCTCATCGTGAGTATACTTCTCTTGAGACCCCTAGACGTTTGATTCTGCAACTGAAATAATAATTTTGATGAATTCCGTGTCTCGTCTCTCATCAACAGTTAGAGGGACCTCAACTGATCAAGTATGGCTTCAATGATGCAATTGCCAAAGTAGGACTTGTCAAGTTCGTCACCTGATCTCTTCTGGGTTGGATTGTTTTACCATCTCTATAACCAGGTACATGTGTAGTAGCATAATCTTCTCACTTGAATTCAATTGTTATGAAATCATACGAACGGTTTATGTTTTTCCAAATTCTCAGTTGGCCACCAACACCCTGGAGAGAGTGGCGCCTCTTACGCACGCAGTTGGAAACGTGCTGAAGCGTGTGTTTGTGATTGGCTTCTCGATCGTGGTCTTTGGTAATGATTTTATGTCTGACAATCTTCAACTTCGTTTTTAGATCAATGAAAACTTGACTCTTTTGTGTTCTACTGCTTGCAGGTAACAAGATTTCAACACAAACTGGTATTGGAACTGCCATTGCAATTGCAGGAGTGGCAATCTACTCTTACCTCAAGGCCAAGATAGAAGAAGAGAAACGAGTGAGTCAGATATAGCTAAGTATATAGTTCATGCAATCTACTCTTGCATCCAATGTCTGCAATCGTGCATGTTTGGAGTTGCCTTTAAACTAGTATTAGAACCCGCTTGGGACTGCTTATGTAGGAAGCACTTCTGCTCACATTTTTCTCAGTTAGCTAATGCATTTTTCATTTTCTTTCCTGAAAATCCAGCAAGGAAAAGCTGCATGAGACGGAATGAAGAACGGACATGGAGGGAACCATGCATTGTAAATTTCATAAATTCCCTTCAGAAGAAATTGCAAATTGAGTATCTGTTATCTATGTCATAGTTTGTTTCCTTTCCTCCTCTCCCCCAACCACCCCCCCCCTCCCCTTCCTTCCTTCCTTCCTCTCCTCCTTCTCTTTCCCTCTTTTTTTCCCCATTGATTGAGAGTACAAAGACATTCTAATTTGTAATGGTCATTTCTTTATCATGTTTCTTGTTTACGTGATTTTTACTTTGTATTTATTTCATTCTCTCATCAAAGTCACGCAATTCACTTTACTTTTACATGATATCAGTTGTCTAGAGTTTTTATTAACGTCTCGGTCTTCATGACAACCTTTTCATAATATTTTTTTCTCCCATCCTCTTTTTGTAAGTTGGATGTGCCAAACAATTACAATAAAGTATAAAGGAAAAAAATTATTTAAGGCCCGAAAGTGATTGGACAATTGTTCCTACAACTCTTTTCCACAGACAAGCGGTTGTAAGAATAGTTGTCTGATCGTTTGGTTGCAGTTAAGTTTTTTAATCGATTGGAAATTCAGAGCTGCAAAACACTGGCCTCCAACTGTAGACACACTTCTCTTTGAGGAATGAAGGATAATCAAGATTTAGCCACTCAAGCAAGGGTGAGGATAAGGACCTTCCATGTTCTATTGGGGTCCTTAAAAAGATGGTTCAAGATATTCAAGAGGGAAGAACCATAAAATTTTGGGAGTGGATTGTACCCTCTACTAAATGCTTTTAGTTGGCCATTTTCTTATTGATGATCAGAAACTTGCCACGAGCTCTAAAAGCTAAATCAATATTTTGATACATCTTATAATTAAAATAACACAATTCCTTAGTTAGTGCTACGGAAGTGCATTATAGCAACTTAGGGCATGTTTGATTGGGAGTATGATTCTCTCCCCTCCAAATTTCCTCTCCTTCTATTTGAATGATCATGATTAAGTAACGTCAACATTTTGTGTTGACTTTTTTTTTTTTATAGAAAGAAAGAAACAGAGAAAAATGAGAGAGAAGTGGAGATGAGAGAATCTTACATTCTTAGGTTGATTGGATCAAATTGGATATGAAATTTCATCTTTATATGGTGTGGTTATCTTTAATATTAGAAAGCTAGATGTATATTATAGATGAAATAAATAATCATAGAAACTTGTCCTGAAAAGTAGCAATTATATAACCAAACCTTAAACATGGGTTTCAATTCTTCGAATCAACAAGCTCGTCGACAACCCCTCTTGCTTCTCCTTATTCTTTTTATTCTTATTTGGATTTTCATAACAACGGATGTCTTGTGTGGGTCGTGAATCGTAATTTTAATCAATATGAAATACAAAGTCTGATTCAATTTAGACCACCAAATGAGGCCTTATTGACCAAAATAAAAAAATAAATAAAAAAAATTCACCACGTCACAAAATCATATATTTCTATCCTAAAATGTTAGAGTATCTCCAATGGTGAAGCTAAACACGCGCTTCATTGTCACGTGATCTACGGTGGTGATCATCGGGCTAATGAATGCGTTCAGTTTTATCTTTCTGTCTTTTTATTTTTTATTATTTTTTTATATCAAAAGTTAACCAAAACTGTACTATAATGGTTGACGTGACAAATTACTAACTCAATTACCTTATAAATAGAAAAAATGTATCACTCCAATAGAATACTGAAACAAGGACAAATTCGAATCATTTCTCTTGCCGGCTGATGATGCACAAAGCCCATTTTCTAATCATCCACTTCACAGAAGCCCAGCCCAATGGTGTACAAACTAGAAACGGGGCCCACAAACAGAGGAAAGCAGAAACACATGCTCGATCATCGCTCACCCAATGACAAGATCGCATCCAACGAACACACAGAATCCAAACAAACGAACACCAAGAACCCTTCGATAAACACACGCACACACATGATGATACGATGCGATAACATATTAACTTAATTCAACCAAAACAAAAAACATAAAACAAAACAAAAAAAATGAAAACTGAACAAAGAAAGAACCTTAAAAATTGTTGCCAACCCAAAAAAAAAAAAAAAAAAAAAAAATCTGAAAATTCAAGAAATAAAACATATATACAAAATTAAACAAAACAAGCAGCCGAGAGTCCAACACACACGACACAAACATTAAAAACCGAAAAGTCATCGGTTCACATGAAAGTAGCATCATGTGAATTTAAAAAACACAAAAATTTAGAAACAAAAAAGTGAAAAATCAAATATTATGGAAGGTGGTGGAATTGGAATTAGAATCAGAGGGAGGAGGAAATACTACTGTTGCTGTTGCTGTTTTTATAATGTTCCTCGTCCCCCTGATTTTCCCTTTTCCTATTTTTCGATATTATTAATATTAATCATTGTTTTTGTTAATGATGTTATTGTTTGTTGTTGTGTTTTCTTTTCAATCCCCGTAAAAATTCAACATTTATTTATTCCTAAATGTTTATTCTTCGTATTCTTATTATTCCATCATGATAATCCTACGCCTTTTCTCTTCTCGATCTCGTCTTCCTTGACTGGTACGGTATTTTGTTTTTAGAGAGAGAAAGAACGAACGAGAGTTTTAGAGAGAGAGAGAGAGAGAGAGAGAGAAGGGGCAAGGAAATCGGATTCCTTTGGAAGACCCAGTTTTTTATGAGAATTTGGGGATCGGGGTTTCGAGGTTTGAAGGTTTGAGGGATTGAAAGGCGGAAGCTTTCGGTGAAATCCCAGATCTCGGTCTCGATTTCAATGGAGGCGGCATCGGAGGGAGAAAATCAGAACAAAAATCATGAGAGCAATAGTAAATTTAACAATTCCAGTGAGGGGCAGAGCAAGCCCAAGCGTCAGATGAAGACCCCCTTTCAGCTCGAAACCCTCGAGAAAGCATATGCCTGTAAGTTCGATTCCTTACAAAAAAATTTTGTAACTTTTGGTTTGGATTTCTGTGGAAATTGAAGTTTTTGTTTTGATTTTTGGGTTTTTGGTCAGTGGATACCTACCCGTCGGAGGCGGTTAGGGCTGAGCTGTCGGAAAGATTAGGGCTTTCCGATCGGCAGTTGCAGATGTGGTTCTGTCACAGAAGGTTGAAGGACAAGAAGGAAGGGGGTCCACCCAAGAAGCAGCGGAAATTGGCACCCGCTTTGCCTGAGCCTCCTATGGATGATTTGGCTCATGGCTCAGAGCCGGGTAGTGATTATGGGTCGGGCTCCGGCTCCGGCTCAAGCCCCTTTGGTCATGCACAGTTGCGGAATGTGGTGGCTAGGGGTGTGGCTGATGACATTCCAATGAGGGGGAGGAGGTATTATGAGTCGCCACAGTCGAAATTGGAGCTCAGAGCCATTGCTTGTGTGGAAGCTCAATTGGGAGAGCCATTGAGGGAAAATGGCCCGCTTCTTGGGATAGAGTTTGATCCTTTGCCGCCAGATGCATTTGGGGCACCTATAGGTATAATTACTGGGTTGCCTTGTTGATTTTACAGCTCAATTGAGCAATGCCTTGTACTTGACTTATGTGGGACTGGATTGCAGCATTGTGCAGGGAATTTTGTGCATATTCTTGTTAGTGGGTTTATGTTGGTCTATTTTTCTCAGAGTATATTTGTATTTTGTACACCCTTCTATAAGATAACAGAAAATATTTTCATGACTTTGTTTTGCCATGTTTAAATGTGTCAATACGTAACCAGTTTTTCTGATAATTAAGTTTACTAGTTTGTTTAACATTCGTTCCTAGTTTGGTTTAAGATTAACATTTGCTTTGAAGGCTTTATGCTTCACTGTAGTTTAGCAAAAATGTTTTGAGTTCCAAATTTTCTCATCTTGTGGTGGTCTAAAAGTATAGACTTTTACCCAAAGTAAATGCATTGGAATCCGAGAAGTTGTGAAAAAACATACAATTTAGTGCTTGATAAAAGCCAGATTGTTACCCTAGCATATTATTTCCGGTTATTTGAATGATTTTTTGGTATGCATTTAGGTTTCCTGCTAACCCTTTTGATTATTTACTTGGTGAAGCAGTTGCGGAGCAGCTGAAGCGGTCTGCCCATGCTTTGGAGGGCAAATATGAGCGTCATGATGCAAAACCAAATAAAGTCTGTCCTTTTTTCTTTGATCAATTGATTATTTTTATACACCGTATGATGGTATGTGCAATATGATAAGATCTGCTCTATAAGATGTTGGCGAGCCATTAAGTGGTATACATGTACTGCCCTTCTTATTATTATGTGACATCCTTCAAAACTTAAAACCACAAGATAATCTTGTGGGGTTGGACGAACATAGGGTTGGTGGTATTATTTTGCAACTCACTTGAGTACTGTTCGATGACTGCAGCAGTATCTATAGTTTCTGTGCCAGTTTTTAGAACTCTAATTCGATTGAACATGCTTCAAGCAGTCTGAGTTTCAAATCTTAGCAAGAGTATTTGTATCTTTGTCCAAATCTTCTTAGCTTAATTTTATAAGGGTGATTTAAAGTTGTGTTTAGTTGCATGACTGGTAACAAAACAACTCATTATTAACTGTCTGGGTACTCTTTCTCCCTTGCGTTCCCTTTTCCTCCTTGTTGTGGGAACTAATGCATTAAACTTGATTTTGCACCGTTGGTATTCTTATCTTTTTCTGTTGCATGCAATTTTCGGTGTTTATGTACTCATGTGTCCTCAATTCTTTTTGGATGAAACATTGAATTAGAATGAGTTTTCATCCCAGGTTGCTCCAAGGACCCTCCATGAATATCCCTTTCCTCAAGATCACTCCAGTATTCGGTCTGATGCATATGGACAAGTCTCCCAATCTCATTTTCACGATTCAGCCATTGATGGTCCATCTGCAAGAACTTCATCATTTGCTGTTGGAAATGAGCCGTTGTCAAGGGTTCATGTTGTCCATGGTCATGCGTCGCGTGTTCGTCTTCTGTCTCAGCAGGAGAGGCAAGCGGTGCCCTACTCATCTCCTGTTGATGATGGAAGTGTACCACAAAGGGACTCCTTCACTAACGTAAGAGTAAATACTCAGTTTAGTGATCCCCCTGTTGTTGCACCGGAAAACTCTAATGTATTATCTGAAGATCAAATTAATGACTCTATTCTGCGAATGGAGAGGAAACGCAAGGTATACTTGTGCAGTTAAGTTTATTTGAATAGTATTTTTTTTCTCAGCCAAGGACTTAACTAGTTGCGCCTTGTAGAGTGAAGAAGCGAGAATCGCTAAAGAAGTTGAAGCTCATGAGCTGCGGATCCGGAAGGAACTGGAGAAACAAGATATTCTGAGGAGAAAG